GCGTGACAGGGGGGGGGGCACCGCACCCGGGGTATTTCTTCTTTAATAAACCATCAGTGACAGTGACGGCTCAGAGATGATGGAACAAACGCCTTCTCTGAAACCAGCCGTGATGGATCGTACGACGTTCTTTCATTTGGCAGCTTCTCAAGGAAGTCCAAAAATCTGACCCCCCCATCATCCCTCCCCCCATCCCTCCCCCACAGCTGGCAGTGAGCAGAACTGGGAGGATTGATTGAGGGAGTACATTAATCTATACAGTCCAGAGTCTGTGGGGCAGAGCTGGGTTCTGAAGACATCCAGACCAGATCTGAACCCAAACCCTGTCCCTGAGGGATTCAAACCCACTACTGCAACTGTGGTTAAACTAGCATGACTAGTACTGCAGTACTGTTGTCCTGACCTCAGATCACACGTACCTGGTGAGATGTCCTGAAACAGTGACTTCCATATGCTGTACTGCAGGGGTCCCATGTACCTGGAGGTGGGGAAGTCCTCGTACGTCAGGTTGGTCTCGTGGATCTTCCCTTTAATCCTGACACAGAAGAGGAATCAGATCAACACGTCCACATGTGGACACAGACCAGAGAGATGACACTGACACTGGTCAACAGACAATGTAGAGAGCCAGGAGCCACAGACTGGAGACTGACCCAGGCTTGAGTTTTGACACAGTTTCGTCTCATGTCTGGAGAAACTAAGTAACTGAACGGAGTAACACTTCATTTAAAACCTTAAAAAACCTCACGTGACGACGGTCCCACTGTTTGATAGGATTATAATATTATGATTAACTAGTAGTTAACTAAAGGTTAAACTTGAAGAATGGAAAACTACTGATTAACTGACAACTGTATCACAGATACCAGCGTCTTCCTGTTGTTGAAGATCCAGGACAGAACCAGCTGTCTACGTCTGAGGGACCGAGCTCACAGTAACTGATGAGGACGAGGCCATCCAATCAGAAGAGGACGACGATTCTGTTACAGTTAAAACCCCTGGGTCAGAGAAAGGTCGTCGGTCAGAGTTGGTGACCTGACACCAAGATCTGAGCCACAGACCTGGGACTGACTGTTCTACTGATTCTGTTATAAACACCAGCTAAGTCTAACAATCGTTTCTCCTTAGCTGCTGCTGCTAACATCTGTACGCTCCCTGTTAGCATGAACAAAACACCGTACTCTTATTTCTCCTCCTCATCAACAGATTACTGGAGTGTTTTTCTGTAAATCTCTGTAGATGAAGCACCTCTCCGACGTGACAGCCACGCCCTCCAGGAAGTCGTGTCGCCCCGTCTCGTTGAGTCGCTCCTGCAGGATCTGAATGCCCTCCTTGACGTCGCGCAGCTGTTGGCTGTAGCACTGGATTTTGTGCTCGATGTCCGCCAGTTTACGGGCCGTGTCCGTCTCCAGCTCCTCCAGCATGCTCTTCTGACGCTCGCGGAGGAAGCGGTGCAGGCGCTCAAACGCGTCACCGATGGTCGCGCGTAAACTCTTCGCCGACGACTGCAACACAAAAAGAAACGAGGATTTGGAGAAAAATCACTGATGTAAAAAAACGAGGGTTTGGAGAAAAATCACTGATGTAAAAAAAAAAAAGACCAGGAGAACTCTGTTTCTACACCTGGTTCATAAATCATAACAGTCTCTTCCTCTTCTCCAGGGAGTTCGTCCTCGTCCTCGGACCAAACTGAACCACAGACAGAAACTGACCCAGAGCAAGGTGCATTTTGGGAAATGAGGGTCAAAGTGAGGAAGGAGAGGTGAAACGTGAACGTTGTTTGTCGGACAGACGTTAAGTAGTGACGTGCAGTGTGGTCACAGGCCTGTAGGGGGATCCACTCCTGATCAGTCGGTGTTTAGAGGTTTCAGAAGAGCAGAGTGAAACCTGAGTATTGTGGTGTGAACGTGCTGCAGCGGTGGGTCAGTGTAAGAAGGTTCTGGTTGATATCTGTTTGATTCTTCCTCAGTCTGGACGATGTTCTTCAACTGTGGAACCTTTCAGTGACGACGTGACTGGAAGGTCGTGACATTCATGTGAAATTAATCCCAGCTCT